AAACTTAGCAGCCTGCTAGTTAGCAATGACGTAGAACATAAGCAAATCGCCCGCAGGTATCTCCAAAACTAATTAAGCATAAATTCAATAAACAAGTTGCTTCTTTTATCATATGTTAACATAAAGGCTCGTTTTTGAAGTATAAACTGCTACTTACAGGCATTGCTTCGAAGAACTCGACCTAGAATGCGGCGTTCATAACAGACGCGTGTGTTCACCTACTCTACCGCTAGCAAACAATCATATTGACTAAATAACATAAAAGTAAAGCAGTTCCCTAAAAGTCCAACAGATGGCAGCAATGCGCCATGCAACATAAAACACCCACAGTTACAGGACACATTCATAGGGGACTTGATTACACACAGGTGGATTCTATTTATCATCATCAATCATTTAGGACAACATTGGATCATTCAGAGATACAAACTAGACTGAATTTGCTGCACTGAAAGTAAAGGGGCCCAATAATATTGCACATCACAGTTTGCAGTTTTTTATTTGTTAAAAAAGTTTAAAATATCCAATAAATTTCGTTCCACCTCACGTTTGTTTCCCACTTGATTCTTCACAAAATAATATTTTTTTAGATCTTTATGTTTGAAGCCTGAAAAGTGGCAAAATGTTGAAAAGTTCAAGGAGGCCGAATATTTTCACAATGCGCTGAGTTTATAACAAGACATTAATCAAATCTTCCTTAGAACAAAGTAAAATGATACAGAATCAACTTCAGTTCAGTGGGTTTTCAGAAAAGACTTTCACAATAATAAATAAAGGCAAAGTCAGCATTAAAAACAGCTACTGCTTGAAAACATAATTATTGAACTTTGACGAACGCACAAAATTGAAATAAAAAACCCCAACCTACTTTGACTTTTAGCATTGGACAACCGATTTGACTGGCTAAGCTTACCTGAAGCTCTCATGCTATTGGCTGAGCTTACCTGAAGCTCTCATGCTACAGGCTGAGCTTACCTGTAGCTCTCACGCTATTGGCTGAGGTTACCTGACGCTCTCATGCTATTGGCTGAGGTTACCTGAAGCTTTCATGCTATTGGCTGAGCTTACCTTAAGCTCCCACGCTATTGGCTGAGCTTACCTGAAGCTCTCATGCTATAGGCTGAGCTTACCTGAAGCTCTCACGCTATTGGCTGAGGTTACCTGACGCTCTCATGCTATTGGCTGAGGTTACCTGAAGCTCTCATGCTATTGGCTGAGCTTACCTGAAGCTCTCACTCTAATGGCTGCCAAACAGA